GGGGGAGCTGCGTGCGGGAGCGGGACCGCTGGTGCACCGTCGACGGACCCCACGTCTTGCCCTTCACGCCGTCCGCTGGGACTGTAATTGAAAATAATATTTGTAGGACCGACGAAAGCTTCTAGTGTATTGTCAAAAAAACTATGAACAGTGAGCAAGCACTTAATGAGCACTTAAGGTGGGATTTGCTAACATCCGCCCGAGCGCCTCCGAAAGAGACCTGATAACTCAAGAGCAGCTGCTTTGCGAATGAATCTACTACCGGATCGGAATCACGACCCGCTGAGAGACTCAGCGAGCGATTTATCATTCGTTTAGCAGTCACTGTCCTCGTCGAGCCCTTCGTCGCAAACGAATTAACCCATAGACACAGCCCACTGAGTTTCTCGCCGAATCTACTCAGTGGGTCGCGTTTCCGATCCGGTGGTAGATTCTGCGAAGCACTGCTCATGCTAGGGTCAGTGTTAGCAGCACTCCGGCTTGAGCCCCGTGAGTTCACCTACACACGATAGGGCGTAACTGAAACAGCCTCTCAAGGCTATCAGCATAGGTAGGGGAAAAAAAGTGAGTTAACATGGCAACACTGACGCGCTATGGCCCGCACGATGGCGGGCGAGCCGGGCGGCGTGTCGTGCGCGACGGCCAGCAGCTGCTTGTGGCTGGACTCGTCGTCGCTGGGCCGCACGGTCAGCGTGTGCCGGAAGTCCAGCGGAGACGATATCGTGTCCTTCTTTAGGAGCCTGATTTTACTGAATTTGCCTGTAACGAGAAACAATTATTTTATTGAACCGATACATTTGTTTTTTTACTGGTGGTAAGACCTCTTGTGAGTTCCCATGGGTAGGTACCACCACCCTGTCTATTATCAGTAATGCGTTTCGGTTTAAAGGTTGTAACTATACTGAGACTTTAGAACTTATATCTCAAGGTAGGTGGCAGCATTTACGTTGTAGACTTGTATGGGCTCCGATAACCGCTTAGCACCAGGTGGGCTGTAAGCTCGTCCACCCAACTAAGCAATAAAAAAAAATTGATAACCCTAGACTGCATATTTTAGTAACACTAACGGAAGAGATTATACATTCAAGTGAGGCAGGCGGACAGCAATCACTACCATATCTATCTTCTATCTTTATATATAAAAATGAATTGCTGTTCGTTGGTCTCGCTAAAACTCGAGAAAGGCTGGACCGATTTGGCTAATTTTCGTCTTGAATTATTTGTGAAAGTCCAGAGAAGGTTTAAAAGGTAGATAAACATGAAAATGCTCGGAATTAAATAAAAATAACAATTTTGTTTTTCCTTTGATGTGTCCCCCGTCGGACGGATTCCTTTTGTTTGTTTTAAATTTATTTTATACAAAAGCTTAGGTCTTCTATTTATCGATTGAGGCACTACGAAGTCTGTCGGGTCAGCTAGTGTATAGATACAAGGATCCCCTGACCTTTCCGTTTGTTAGGCTGCGGCGGCTGGTTGTGCGGCATGTTGCTCGCGAATATCAGGATGTGGAGCTCCCGCGCGGCCAAGTCTATCTCCCTCATCTCCAGCTCCCGTTCCTTCTGCGCCAAATTCTGCTCCAACAGTCGCTGTTGGAGCTGGGCCCGGGTTAGTTCTTCCTCGCGACATCTCAACTCCTGAAATAAAGACAGTGAAATGTTAGAAGATTGTTTATTTATGACAAAAAAAAGAAAATATAAAGTGCTTACTTATTTGCCTAAAAGGCTTATTACACTTGGCTAAATTTAGTCGACTGAATTCAGTGAAGTGTAATAGCATTCAGTAAACTAGCCTACTAAATTCAGTAGCAAGGATGATTTCTGACTGAGTAAATCATTTAGAAGCCTAATTAGAAACGCATTTAGGAAGGTGTAATCGCATTTAGTTACTTAATGATTTCAGTCGTCCCATTGCTCTCCGTGCGTAAGGACGGTTTAGTTTGTTTTTTACTACCGAAAAGTATTTATTTCAGTCACCTTTATTTAATGTGCCAGACATTTATATATAGCCCGACCTGTTTCAGGGATTATTTTTGTCAACAGGGGTTGGGATATTAAAGAACTAAATTTTAAATCTTGATACGAATTTCCTGTTGCAAGAAATCTTAATGTTACAACCAATCTTTCTTTCGGACTTATACTATCATAGGATTAGATATGTAATAGTTATATAATAGATATATAATTGACTATCGTAGTATCGTAGGATAGTATCCTGCTTTTGAATAAACGGTGTCACAAGGGTTAATATTAGGTCAAACGATCTCGAATCCATTCGTAGATAATTTCTGAAGTCTGCTAATACTAGTTCTAAATCACTCATAGTGTTCATATTTGCTAACTTTCCGCCCAGCAATAAATATTACTGAATTAAGAACAGTGTATTCAGAAGCTTCTAACTTTCTTCTAAATTTGCTTCTGAATTCAGTCGACTAAATTTAGCCAAGTGTAATAAGCCTTTAAGAATGTTAAAAAATGCAGAAATCAAAGTCAGTCAAAAGAAACATAACAGAGGAAATATAAAGGACATACAAAGCGCCACTTCATAACATAAAGATAGACAAATAAACGTAATCTTTGGGAATAAGAGACGAAAAATAGCAGTCACGAAAATAATAATAAACACATTATGAACAACGTCAATAACACCACTAACCTCCTCTATGGTTTTGTATTCCTATACGAAAGCGTTACAAAGGGAAAAAATAAATACATTTTATTAATGATATACGTATGATATCGTCTTTATCGAGTTCGTATTTCACAATAATCAGGGTAGAATTTTTTTATTTATTTTATTAAGGATTTTCATTGGTTTATGTTTTTATTTTCTTTTCTAAGGTACTATACCAAATAAGGCGTGCCTAAATTTGGCTTACGGCATTCAATGAAGAACTTTGCAACAAGAGTCCTTTAAATATTCAAAGTAATGTTCACACAACTTTAATATAAATTTGAAGTGTTAATTTCTTTAGAATTAATTTGAAATTTGGTACGAACATACATTAAAAACCCGACGAATATAATATACATATATGTATGTATAGGATTTAGCCTGAGAGAAAATGAGATATGCCACATTTTTTTTTACAAATCACCGCCACCAATAATTGGCTAGAGGGCGAGCGGTCCACTTGACGAAGTAATCATCGCGGCTAGTGGACAACAGCAATGTCAACATAACCATGTCGCTGCCACCTTGGGTTTTCATTACTATTGTCAAGACTCACAGGAAAAGATAAGTCATAGTCATTAACTGAAATGAAAATATTTTTAACCACTCCTGTATTTCAATTTAACATTAAGCACTACATTGTTTTTTTTATATTTTTTTATTGCTTAGATGTGTGGACGAGCTTACAGCCCACCTCGTGTTAAGTGGTTACTGGAGCCCATAGACATCTACAACGTAAATGCCTCCACCCACCTTGAGATATAAGTTCTAAGGTCTCAGTATAGTTACAACGGCTGCCCCACCCTTCAAACCGAAACGCATAACTGCTTCACGGCAGAAATAGGCGAGGCGGTGGTACCTACCCGTGCGGACTCACAAGAGGTCCTACCACCAGTAAAAAAGTAGTTAGTATTTTAGTATAATATGTAGAGTTACCGAAACAATTGTGTATTTGTTTGTTTATGTATCTATTAAATATCTCAAAAGTTTATCCGCTTTAAAATATTTTAATAATGGCGACTTTCAAACGTCACGTAATCGACTGAAAAACATTTTACCCTACTGTTGCTAGTACTAATGTTCATTGAGAGTCCTAAATCAAAAAATATTACAGATGTCTACCGACAATACTGACCGTTACTAATTGCGACTATTATGTGCTACGGATCAATACAATGGACACTTAATTGGATGAATATAATAGAATTAAAAACAAAATATAATCCATACCTTCTCCTTTCTCCTAAGATCGCGGAGCACTTCTTCAATTTCTAGTCTCCAGCCGTCCTGTAGCGTGTGGAAGGATTCGTGGGGGGCTCTCGTAAATTCTGATTGCCTGATCAACTCCAGCTGGTCCAGTATTTCGGGGAAGAGCGGCCGCTCTCGCGGATTGGAATGCCAGCACGCTGAAGAGAATAGGACAATAGGAACAATAGGAATTTCAAAATAGGACGAGCTCGCTTCTCTCCAGGTGTAAAGCGGATGATGAAGAAATATAGGCCACTGAGTTTCTCGCCCGATCTTTTCAGTGGGTCGCGTTTCCGATCTGGTGGTAGATTCTGCGAAGCACGGCTCTTGCTAGGGTTCGTGTTAGCAACATCGTCAGGTTTGAGCCCGTGAGCTCACCTACTCGCCCGGTTGCGCTGACGTAACCTCTCAAGGCTATCAGCTTAGGTAGAAAAAAAAAGAAGAAATATTATAAGTAGCTCGAGGAAGCTGGGGCTGCATAGTTGTATCACCCGAAAATATATGAATCAAAACGTGTGTAAAAAAAAAAATAGGCGAAATGCGCTTATGGGTGATTATTTTTATTTAATTTAGTAGTGAAACTTTCTTAACTTCTACTCCACAGGGGCTGATATTGCACGGGCAAAGGCAAAATAGTTCAGACCCATTTCGTCATTTGTTCGGCAACCGATTTTCTTTTTTGTTTTGCTCAGTAGTAGCCATTGACTTTAGTGTTACCAATACCAATGTAGTAAGTCAATTATTATTTTTTTTTCATAAAAAAAATATGTATATTTACGTCAACAACGAAGTCCAAATTGTACAAACGAAAAAAAAATCCCATAAAAATTACTTATTAAGACTAAAGAGCCAGTTTTAATGAGGCAAAGACATTTAGAGCCCGCAGGCTAACCTCTGTCTTGGCTATTTCTACCGTAAATAAATCATTCAGTTCGATTTGCATAAAATAACTATTACCGATATACTTGATATTTCGATCTTACAATCTCGAGATGGGGATTATTTACTTTACATTAATAGACTCGATTAATTGTTTTTTTTTTCAGTTTTCACAAGCCACACACATATCATACCACAAGTAGACATAATTAATATTACTTTTACGGTTTCATATGTGAAATGAGAGGTAAAATCTAGAAATATTTTTATTAAAAAAATACGACGGTAGTCAGCACAAATTTCAAATGTCAACGAATATCACTTTGATGAAACAACAGCAAAACGGGACAATTACATCTTCTGCATACAAAGAAACTCACCTTCCATCAGCTTCCTCCAGGGCTCTGGACAGGTGCTCGGTATAGGCAACGTTAGTTTGTTGACTGCGACCCCATAGGCCACCGCTAGTGCATCGATGCCTTTGTAAGGGGTCTCGCCCGTGAGCAGCTCCCAGAGAAGCACCCCGTATGACCAAACGTCCGAAGCGTGTGAAAACGTCGAATTCTTTATAACCTGGAATCATAATTACGTACTCATTAAAATTACTAGTGGTAGCACGCCTTGTCAGTCCGCACGGCAAGGTACCAACCACCGACCTGCCTATTTTTGTCGGTTTGAAGGGTGGGGCAGTCGTTGTACCGTTACAACTGAGACCTCACAACTCTTAACTCAAGGTAGTTGGCGGCATTTACGTTATAGACGTCTACGGACTCTGGTAGCCATTTAACACCAGGTGGGCCGTTAGCTCGTAAACCCATAACAGCAAAAAAATCCTTTTTTTTTATTTAAAAATTATTATTGCTTTTTAAATATATATTTTTTAATTAAAAAAGTTATGATTTGATTTGAGCGTGAGAATTCCCGCTAACATAAAAGCAAATTATTATTTTTCACATAACACACATAAATACACAACCAGGGCCCCTAAAAGCACTGACACTCAGATTGTATGGCCCAAAATTATCTCGTCAAATTATTTGCATGTATTCACAAAAGCACGCCTGCTAGTGAAATGATAGCGTAGCAAACGTAGAGAGAGACTTCGAATGTTCGAAATGCAAGCCCACACAGGTATATGCGACCGTGAACTAAAACATATTAACATTACTGACTTAATTGTTGGCTGTGTATTTTGTAATGGGACGAGTGCTGTCAATCATTGTGACTACGTAATAATTGGTACAGAAGTACAGATAATGGCACTTATTTTAGAAGATACTACTGAGAGAAATTTTAGAAAAAGAACTTAAAGCGTAATGATTGTAACAACAAATTGAAAAGCAAGTGGAGGTTTACTAGTCGTTGTGTAAAAAGATAAAACAATTATATTTAGAGATATATATAAAAAAAACATAAAAAAATACTACACTAAACGGAATGTATTGCAATCTATGGTGGTGATGGTGATGGATCACTAGTTGTGAACTCAACTAATATGCAAATGAGGTGATTTAAAGCCGTTTACTGGTAAGTTATAGCTAACAGGTGTGAGCTGGTCCACAAAATATCCACGTGAATGCGCCACCCACCTTGAGATATAAGTTTTAAGGTATAAGTAGATTCTAAGTTGTAATATAAGCTATGTACCTATATCAAAATGAAATATGAATTAAATTGAATAAAAAAAATCTATGGCTGTGTTTTATTACCACCCAATATATTTATATTTAAGACAAGTTGTGTTTTATTTAGCAAAATTTTTTTTTTTATTGCCCTTGTAGGCAGACGAGCATACGGCCCACCTGATGGTGAGTGGTTACCGTCGCCCATGGACTTCAGCAATGCCAGGGGCAGAGCCAAGCCGCTGCCTACCAAATGTGTCATTAATCGTACTGTTTCAAATGACATAATAAAATACTTCAAGTAAATGTAACTTCAAGGTTATTGTTACCAACAAAAAAAGTAAAATCATCCAGGTGTTCACATGAATAATTCATATGCGTAACATTAAAAAATTACAAACTATTATTTTTTTGATCAATTAAACAACCATTCCTACTGTCTAAATGTGTTTAAAATTGTTTATTTATTATATTAAATAGTAGGTTTATTTATTGAATATAAATCAAAGAAATATAAATTTAAGTGTTGTCTGTGTCTGTGGTGATCTTTTTTTTTCTCCACCTGATCCCACTAGGTGGGGTCGGCACAGCAATTTTTTCTCTTCCATTCTCCTCTATCAGCCGTCATCTCAACACTCACTCCCCTCTCCCTCGCATCGTCTTTCTCACACTCCATCCATGTCTTCTTCGGTCGACCTCTTCCCCCTCTACCTAGCACTACCATTTCCATACATCTCCTAGTCACATGCATCTTCTCTCTACGCATCACATGTCCATACCACGCTAACCGTCCGCTCCTTAATTTGCTACTTTCACATTTCCTCTGATATACTCATTCTGATATCGAAACAAAATCATAACAGTAAATTTGTTTTAGTACGAATAAACTGAATTCTTCTAAATTTTAGCTGTTGGCCTATTTTATTTGAAACAGCATGTCCAATTTGACGGAGATTTTCCGAGATAGGTTAGAGTCTCTAATAATATACTTATTAGGCTACTTATTATCCTTTGCTCTTATATACAGGAATTTTCGTCAATAGTAGAGGAATGTCATCAATGGAAACGTATCTTTCATCTCTACGCATTAGTTCTGGTTTTCAGAGATCTAAAGTCACGTCCTTACGTACCCAACCCTTACGGATCCAATAATCCTTGCATTAGACGCCTTCAGCTCTAACACCAGGAGCAGACTTAGGGACCTCGGTAACCGTATTCGTCGAGCTCGACAAAGAGTTCGACGTGCTACCTAAGCTAAGCCTGCTTAGTTTTCGAAAGCCTAATCTTCTCAGCGGGTCGCGATTCCGAGATAGTAGATTCATTCGCGAAGCAGCTGCCCTTGAGTTGTTAGGTCTCCTTTGGAGGCGCTCGGACAGCTGTCAGCAAATTCCACCCCTCCTGGCTGAACCTTTGCTCGCCCGCCTGCCCTGGTGAAACTGGAAAGACCTCCAGACCACCAGTAATCCCACAAACATAAAAAAAGATCCAAGGTATTCACCTCTGGAGGCATCCAGGCGTAGGTCCCTGCGGCTGACATCCTTGTGGTCTTGTAAACTTCTCTCGCGAGTCCAAAGTCCGTGATCTTCAAAGTTTTGTCTTCTAATGCGTCATCAGGCAGGATTGCTTCACTCAGGAGCACTGCAACAATCAAAAATAATACTCTTAGTACAATTAACCTAAAATCTATAATATAAAGTTACATTGACATATATAGACATGACATAGGTGGTCGAGAACACCGCATGTCCCCATATTATACATAGACTATTGTTCTTATAAGATCCCCTCGCCTAAGCCATTTTGATATACGGGCTAAAGTATTCAATTGCATTGCAGAAAAAAATATTTCTGTGAAGTTTTATATTTTTTTATGTGCTACATTCTAAGTGTTACACAGCAAGGTGCCAATTGATTTTCAAAAAAGATGTATGAAAATGGGGATTTACATGAGCAACTGCAAGTGATGTTTGATTTTATAAATGTAGTAGAAGTAATAAAGTACCAGTAATAAAATACACTATAATATATAGTGGTAAGTATGTACTTAAACACCATTAAACATCTGTTTCTAATCATGTATTTCTCTATTACAAAAACCACATTTTAATTTTTACTAATATTTCTAAACGAATTAACAGAATATATAATAGATTTTTTTAAGGGATTTTATTAATTAAGCATCAAGCAGGCCGAATGCAGGCAACATTGGAGGAAGCTGGTGCAAAAACTGGACCAAGGTGGTCACGACCCTCAGTAATGAGGAAACGACAGAGAAGAAGAAGAAGAAGAAGAAGAACTAAAACTTTTTAGTCATGTATTATTTTAATTTATATTCTTATTTTTATGAAAAATGATATGGAGTGAAATGAAATGAAGATGATTAATTTGAAACATTAATCAACTGAGATAAAATAAAATGAAATGAGATGATATGATATGGGATGAAATATATATATTTTAGTAAAATGGTGGTCATTTACTGAGATTTTTTCAGTGGACCTTTTAGAGGATCCCGAGAAGTTAAGTCCAGTGGCTTTGTTTCATTTTCCTACACTTGTGCACTTTCACAGATATTAAACAGTTAATAAACCACCATTAGTACACATTTAAACCCGAAGTAACACTAAATAGATAAAATAAAACAAATAACATTTCACTCCACGCATTCCCGCCATAAAGTCTAATATAATAGAAAAATACTAAAAGAATTATCATTTAAAAAAGCATTACAATCCATGCGGTAAGTATGTATGGTACATCTAACAACTGAACGATTTGAAACGTTTACTCTGAAAGGTTACAAAATCGATTTTTCTGCTATTGAGGTCGGTTCCCTGTTTTAGACAAATAAAGCTTACAGGGGTAGGTTGAAGCGCATGATATTTATACAATGTTCGTTGGCATAGTTCAACTATTAAAGGTTAATGATACAGAACACTGTTTTTCTGTATGCAAGGGTTTAAAGCTGCATTACAAAACCTAACACGAATAACGAAATAATGTAAAAAGTTTATAACATGTCGTGTGTATATAATAAATAGACAAAGGTAACACAGTTAGGTAGAATTTTCGCCAAAGTTCGTCAACCGACATACATTTTCGTCTTTAATAGGTAGCTATTGCCTGTACAGTATCACAGATGCGACTCAGCATTATATGCGCGCGGTTTTTTTTTTCTTTTTTCTTTTCATACCTATGCTGATAGCCTTAAGAGGCTATATCAGCTTCGCCCTAACGTGTAGGTGAGCTCACGGGACTCAAACCGGAGTGTTGCTAACACTGGCCCTAGTAAGAGCAGTGCTTTGCAGAATCTACCACCGGATTGGAAACGCGACCCACTGAGAAGATCCGGCGAGAAACTCAGTGGGCTAACGCGGGGAGGAGTTTCGAGTTCTTTGGACACATTGCCAGAAAGAGAGGTGACAATTTAGAGAAGCTGCTGGTAACAGGCAAGGTATGCGGAAGAAGGCCCGGAGGCAGAAGTTCAATACGCTGGCAGGAGTGGCGCAGGATAATCCAGGAGAAAGTTGTTAGAGGAGGCCATAACCTTCAGCATTGAGGATTATCGACGCAAGGAGTACAATATTGTTTATTTTATTTTATTATATTACTAGCTGACCTGGCAGACTTCGTAGTGCCTCAATCGATAAATAAAATACCTAAACTTTTGTATAAAATAAACTTATAACAAACAAAAGGAATCCGTCCGACGGGGGACACATCAAAGGAAAAACAAAATTGTTATTTTTATTTAATTCCGAGCATTTTCATATTTATCTACCTTTTAAACCTTCTCTGGACTTCCACAAATAATTCAAGACCAAAATTAACCAAATCGGTCCAGCAGTTCTCGAGTTATCGAGACTAAGAACAGCAATTCATTTTTATATATATAGATTCTATTATTAATGCGAAATGATAACCTTATTGACCTTCAATGTTATCTATTATTCCTTTTATCTTATACATTTCAGAATATTGCACAACACAAAATATTACACCTAAAAACATTACTGGTGGTAGGACCTCTTGTGAGTCCGCACGGGTAGGTACCACCACCCTGCCTGTTTCTGCCGTGAAGCAATAATGCGTTTCGGTTTGAAGGGTGGGGCAGCCGTTGTAACTATACTTGAGACCTTAGAACTTATATCTCAAGGTGGGTGGCGCATTTACGTCGTAAATGTCTGTGGGCTCCAGTAACCACTTAACACCAGGTGGGCTGTGAGCTCGTCCACTCATCTAGCAATAAAAAAAAAGGAAACATTTACGTATTGCTATATTCACTTTTCTGTTCGATAATTTCGTATTTCTAGGATTGAGTTTTTATTTCTATTGCTTTAAGTGGGTGGACCAGGTCACGTCCCATCTGATGTCAAGTGGTTACCGGAGCCCATAGACATCTACAACATAAATTACAAATTACAGTACAACGGCTGCCCCACCCTTCAAATTGAAACGCATTACTGCTTAAGCACAGAAATAAGCATTTTTAATTTTAAGGTTCGTAGTGACGTTCAACACCATTTTTAGATCCTCACAGCGTATTTCCCATCGTATGAGCACCGACATCGTTTGTAACTGTGGGCGGACTAAACAAACAATTTTACGAGCGACCTATATAGCTGCATAATATGCAACACGAGTACGTCGGGTCCGTTTCAGAGCCCATGTGACTTTGTCGCATTAAGTTTGTATGACTTAAGCATGCATGATGGGCACGTAAGTTTTTTTAATTTATCGCTTAGATGGGTGGACGAGCTCTTAGCCCACCTGGTGTTTAGTGGTTAGCAGAGCCCATAGAAATCTACAACGTAAATGCGTCACCCAACTTGAGATATAAGTTCTAAGGTCTCAGTATAGTTACAACGGCTACCCCACCCTTCAAACCGAAACGCATTGGTTTTAGCAGATATGAATCAGGATTGCGACGTTGAAGTGGTAGTGGGCATGGCACATTGCTCGTAGAACGGATGACGGTTGGGGCTGAAGACTTGCTGAATGGCGACCGCGTACCGGAAGACGTAGCGTGGGTAGGTTTCCCACAAGATGGACCGACCTATCAGGGATCGCGGGGATCCGCTGGATGCAAACAGCGCAGGACCGATCGTTGTGGCGAGGCTTGGGGGAGACCTATGTCCAGCTGTGGACGTCTGTAGGCTGATAGAATAGAATAGAAAATCAATCAGTCCGTTAATTTTCCCGTTACGATTACAAATAACTATTTCAAAATTATAATATGTGAACTAAACGTCATTGGAATGACTGAATATTGCTTATTTCCTGCAAAACATAATGTCGAACGTTGATAAAATGTATGCTACACATGTAAGAACCTAAACATTTTCCGTAAACAACGAATTTATTTATTAATAACAACTACTCGTCCATTGATGCTATTTCTACAGCACATGGAATTTGTAGCTCCATTACAGGATTTTTAATATTATCTCACTTAAATTCTAAAAAGTTACATTTTACCTCTGTTAGCTTATATAATTTTTGCCGTATAGGCAGACGAGCATACGGCCCACCCAAATACACTTACTAGAAAGTTCTATGGAAACGAACCGATATGATAGTGAGCCGTGAGCAATTCACACGTTTATCAAGAACTAAAAAGAACAAAGAAATACGTTTGCATGTTTAGCTGAAACATTGAATAAAAATCCTTCATCAAATTGATCCAGATTATTTAAATCAGGTATTTCGGGTATTTTTTCTTTAAAAGTTTATCGTTGACTTAAAATTATAATTGTATCGTACCAGAAAAAAAAATGGTTATTAAAAGAAGTAAGTATGTATGTTCTTTCCAAAAATAATTACATACTTAGTTATGTACGTGAAAACAAAATTTTAAAAATTGTAATCTCAAAATTTTTAATAATCTTATGGTCCCAATAATTTTATAAGTGGTATAATATATTGGATAAAATTTTATTGATTTTAGGCTGTATGCTCTGCTCTTATTTATAGTGTAACACTAAATGGCGCCACTTTTGTACATCCTTCCTTCTTGCCATCTTGTATGCGGTATGTAAATGAGTGTGAATTAATTATTAAAAATAAAACGTATAGTTCAAAGAATTCTTGTTTATCAACATAATCTCAATATAATAAAAATTTAATTGGTGCAAAACATCGGCTTCACATAGTGTTACTTAAAAAAAAACAGTCAACTTTGGTTGATTGATAACCTTTTGGTTCGTTGATAACCTTTGGGTTAATTTGTTTCTGTGGGATCGACTGGAGAACTTCCTTACCGAACAAAAAAGAATTTACGCAAATCGAGCGATAAGTTTCGGGGAAACCCAATATTATATAGACAAATAATGAAAACAAATATAATATGCGATAACACCACGCGCCCAATTAAAAATGTAATACATTTTACGGCACAGGAAATCCTCGCACTCGGTCGCTGTATTGCTAGAGTAAAAAGCAATACTAATAAAACCATTAGACCATTCTCACATAATAATTCAAAACTACTGTTTAGCATAAAGAGCAGCATACTAGATTTACCAGTCGCGCTACAACATCATTAAACACATAATTGTATGAATAATTTACCAAATTAACGTCGATTCAAATAAATTATATTAAACTGAAAAAAATACTCAACTTACTGGTGGTAGGAC